CACACACACACACACACACACACACACACATACCCAGTTACTCGTATATGCTCCTGCAACACGGAGCTCTTTTGCCCCTGAATGCACATATGCCCTGCGCATGCGTGCCTCACCTCCTGCAATTGGCCAATTACTCCACACGAAACAAGCCGAACACCCTCACTGGCCATTACTATCCTCGGACCATAACCACATAAGATCTGGGACTAGTTTATGATTCTCAATACCCAATAAGTTCCTGTTTATCACCGGCATTTGTAGCAAATCCAATTCTCATTCGTTATGAATATATGTACGGCGCCCATGATTGGTCATGAGTTACATACACGAGCTCCCATTGGCTGGAAGACGAAGGCTGTCCTGACCAATCAGGAACGAGTAGGTCTCTTGAAGTTTATCATCTGTGAGGGAGTCGTGGGGTAGGGGGGGGGGGAACGGTCGTTAATCTGGGTTATTTAGCCGTGTTGGTGTCGTCTTCTAGTCAGTCAGCTGTGTCGTTCGCCACGACCACCACGACCACCACCACCAACTACTGATACCTCAACCACCACCACCACCATACTGATACCTCAACCACCACCACCACGACAGGATTTCTAGCTCAAAAACGATCTCCATTGATCTACCACAATCTACTCTACCACAATCTACTCTACAACGATATCTACTGCTCTGCTACCATATCTACTGCTCTGCTACCATATCTACTGCTCTGCTACCATATCTACTGATCTGCTGCCATATCTACTGCTCTACCATATCTACTGCTCTGCTACTATATCTACTGCTTTGCTACCATATCTATTGCTCTACTACCATATCTACTGCTCTGCTACCATATCTACTGTTCTGCTACCATATCTACTGCTCTTCTACCATATCTACTGCTCTGCTGCCATATCTACTGCTTTGCTACCATATCTACTGCTCTACCATATCTACTACATCTATAACCTTAACTGCTCCACTACACATTTCAACTTCTCCTCAACCATCGACCTTTCCATCATCAACTTTCTTGAAGAAGAGCCATCATCACTTCACATTAAACAGCAAGATATGAGTGAGATGAACTCCGTCGCTCTCCGAGATGATAAGAGAGTTCGTACACTCGCTTGAGTGTATGTGTGTTAGGCGGATTTTATGTGCTCGCTCTGTTGAAAAAATTGTAATCCACTTTGGAACATTTAAGTGGATTATGCGAGTGTGTGCGCGGGTCTGATAGCATTGTGTTCGAACTACGACCCGATTAGTTCCGTCCGGCACTTGTTGAGTGATCTGTTTCAACAATAAGCTTTTCTCAAAAGGCTTTGTGACTTTTTTTTCCGTATCACTGTGATAAGTCAGTATTGGTTTAATGTTGCTTAATTTGTGTATAGCCTGGATGTGAAGGATCAGGGGACAGATTCACGAGAGCAGTTACGCAAACACTTACGAACCTGTCCATCTTTTCTCAATCTTTGGCGGCTTTGTTTACAATTATTAAACAGTTAATGAGCTCCGAAGCACCAGGAGGCTGTTTATAACAATAACAACAGTTGATTGGCAAGTTTTCATGCTTGTAAACTGTTTAATAAATGTAACCAAAGCCGTCAAAGATTGAGAAAAGATGTACAGGTTCGTAAGTGCTTGCGTAAGTGCGTAAGTGAATCTGGCCCCAGGAGTTTAACGAGGTTGTTACAGCTGCTTTTAGTTCGGTAATTAACTTTGAAAACAACTTTTTGTTCGTTGATTTCCAATAATACTTTTTTTGTCCCCTAATTTGTATTTAAAAGACTTTAAATCAGACAATGGGCTGGCATATAAGAGCCAAGAGTTAGCTAACATCTGCGTAATCAAAACATAATCTTTACATCATAATCTTGTGTACATCTAAATGAACAAATTCACAAGGGCCGTGACGAGGGTTCGAACCTACGTCACGGCCCTTGTGGATTTGTTCATTTGATGCATCACGATAGTGTGATTTCTGTGTGTAATTGTGTTCATCTATTAAACAGCTTGTGAGCAACTTGGCTGCACTTCTGAACTCATAAAGTGTTTAAGACATTTAAACAAAACTGTCTTGACTATGGAAAGATGTAGAGCTTTCGTAAGTGTTTTCGTAAGTGCTTGGCGTACCCAGGCTAAGTGCTTTAGCCTATTGCTCTGTTTAAAGTGCCCTAAACGCACATTAGCAGCATGGAAAGAAATGTTATATTATTAAAAATCTATGAACGTTCAATGTTAACTCACCTAGTTGTGCTTGCGGGGGTTGAGCTTTGGCTCTTTGGTCCCGCCTCTCAACTGTCAATCAACTGGTGTACAGATTCCTGTGTGTGTGTGTGTGTGTGTGTGTGTGTGCGTGTGTGTGTGTGTGTGTGTGTGTGTGTACACGCACGCATTTGTTTGTGTATGTATATTGACAAATATTTATACTACACTGATGCTGAATTAAAAATTTAAGTTAATTTATATTCCAGAAAATTTGATGATGTATTAACTTAAGATTTAGAAGATAGCAAAAATATTAATAACGCTAATAAGCAGATATTACAAAAAAAAGACATACATTTGCTATCACAACAAATAAGAAAAAAGATATAGCAGCAAAGAATTAACAAATAGAATACAAAAAAACGGAAAATATCGACAGCCACAGAAATTTTCACCCCAAGAACGAGCGAAAATGACGTAACGGAACTGGTCGAAACGTCTCCTGTAGGATGAAGACATTGGTCTGCATTAGCCTCGCTGCCTGCATCTCTCTCCTCTTCTGCTGCAGTTGTCATGGTTACTTTGGGTGAGTATAAGGTTGTCCATTGCCCGGCGGCCAGGGTACAGCTGCCTGCATCTCTCTCCTCTTCTGCTGCAGTTGTCATGGCTACTTTGGGTGAGTATAAGGTTGTCCATTGCCCGGCGGCCAGGGTACAACTAGATCTCCAGGGTATGACTGGGTTTCAGGACTACGGGCTCACCATAGCCCGTGCTACTTGTAACTTTTTGTCCCAGGTAGCGAATCTTTAACAACAGCAACGACTGGGTTTCAAAAGTATGACTGTTTGTGGTGGCTTCTGTTAGAAAAGTCAAGTTATCTTGAGGTTATCTTGAGGTTATCTTGAGATGATTTCGGGGCTTTAGTGTCTCCGCGGCCCGGTCCTTGACCAGGCCTCCACCCCCAGGAAGCAGCCCGTGACAGCTGACTAACACCCGGGTACCTATTTTACTGCTAGGTAACAGGGGCATCAGGGGTGAAAGAAACTCTGCCCATTGTTTCTCGCCGGCGCCTGGGATCGAACCCAGGACCACAGGATTATAACACCAGCGTGCTGTCCGCTCGGCCGACCGGCTCCCCAGTGTACAGGTAGTTAACGAATTGGTCATTGGTTGAGTTACCTGGCACAGGAGCGGGGCAAGTAGCACGGGTTATGGTGAGCCCCGTAGTGGACTTACCTGGCACAGGAGCGGGGCAAGTAGCACGGGCTATGGTGAGCCCGTAGTGGACTTACCTGGCACAGGAGCGGGGCAAGTAGCACGGGCTATGGTGAGCCCCGTAGTGGACTTACCTAGCACAGGAGCGGGGCTGTAACTGTTGTGTCAACAAACATAATGGGAGTCAGGTGTGTATGTGAGGGGCTGATGAGGGCGTTCTTTGAGTGCGTGTGTAATGAGTCGGGTGTGTAAGAGGAGGGTAATTTAGTTGCACATATGAGCTTTTTTGAAGTTTTTTTTTAATATGTCATTCTAAGACATATTAACGCAAATATATGAATATATAAAATGCAAAATAAACCACATTTCAATTGTAGTTTATTCTGCTCTAATGTGATCAGTGTTTATTGATAATTTCTTGCGTATGTATATTATTTAGCTATATTATATGAGGGATTCTCCCATTAAAGCATTATAACTACCGCGGTATTAAGGGTATGAGAGGTGTAATTAATACTCTGATTTGTACCAACCACTTGGGCTAGACGGTAGAGGGACGGTCTCGCTTCATGCAGGTCGGCGTTCAATCCCCGACCGTCCAAATGGTTAGGCACCATTCCTTCCCCCGTCCCACCCCAAATCTTTATCCTGACCCCCTCCCAGTGCCAAATAGTCACAATGCCTTGGCACTTCTGCTGATAATTCCATCCCATGCCAACCAAGAATTGGGAAAAATACTAAACCTAACTGGTAACCTAACCTAACCTAACCTAACCTAACCTAACCTAAACCTAACTGGTAACCTAACCTAACCTAACCTAACCTAACCTAACCTAACTGGTAACCTAACCTAACCTAACCTAACCTAACCTAACCTAACCTAACCTAACTGGTAACCTAACCTAAACCTAACTGGTAACCTAACCTAAACCTAACTGGTAACCTAACCTAACCTAACCTAACCTGACCTAACCTAACCTAACCTAACCTAACCTAACCTAACCTAACCTTACCTAACCTAACCTAACCTAACCTAACCTAAACCTAACTGGTAACCTAACCTAACCTAACCTAACCTAACCTAACCTAACCTAAACCTAACTGGTAACCTAACCTAACCTTACCTAACCTAACCTAACCTAACCTAACCTAAACCTAACTGGTAACCTAACCTAACCTAACCTAACCTAACCTAACCTAACCTAACCTAACCTAACCCCAAGAGGATCTGAAGTTACTTTATTTTCTCCCTTTTTTATTTTTATTTTAACGATCTCTGTATGATTGTCGGTCGACAGAATATCCAGCAGGAGGAAGGTGGACCTGAGCATCCTCACAGCATCCTCATCCTTCATCTCCACTCTTGACGCACGTACGGTAGGTGTACTCACCTAGTTGTATTTGCGAGGATTGAGCATCAACTCTTTGGTCCCGCCTCTCAACTGTCAGTCAACTGGTGTACAGATTCCCGAGCCTATTGGGCTCTATCATATCATTTGAAACTGTGTATGGAGTCAGCCTCCACCACATCACTGCCTAATGCATTCCACCTGTTAACTACTTTGACACTGAAAAAGTTCTTTCTAACGTCCCTGTGGCTCATGTGGGTACTCAGTTTCCACCTGTGTCCCCTTGTTCGCGTACCATCCGTGTTAAACAGTTTATCTTTATCTACCCTGTCAATTCTTCTGAGAATTTTATAGGTAGTGATCATGTCTCCCCTTACTCCTGTGTGTGTGTGTGTCTGGGCGGACAGCCATTGTATTATGATTGTAAGGACGAATTGAGAGAATTATACTGATAAAATTCATGGAAAACAATGTAATATAGTGAGAAAATGAATGGAAAAAAAAGATAAATTGAGAGTGAGTGAATGACAGAGTGAGAAAGTGAACGAAGGAATGAAAGTGTGAGAAAGTAAGACAAAATGAATGAGAGACGAGATAGAGAAAGTGAGAGTGTGAAGAGAGAGAACAGGAAAGTTAACAAATGAGTGAAAGTGAAATAATGACAGAGAGAGAGAGAGAGAGAGAGAGAGAGAGAGAGAGAGAGAGAGAGAGAGAGAGAGAGAGAGAGAGAGAGAGAGAGAGAGAGAGAGAGAGAGAGAGAGAGAGAGTGAGAGAGAGAGAGAGAGACAGAGAGAGACAGAGAGAGAGAGAGAGACAGACAGACAGACACACACACACACACACACACACACACACACACACACACACACACACACACACACACACACACACACACACACACACACACACACACACACACACACACACACACACACACACACACACACACACACACACACACACACACACACACACACACACACACACACACACACACACACACACACACACACACACACACACACACACACAAACACACACACAGAAGAAACTTCCTAGCAAAACAAAACAAAAAACACACAAAGTTTGAAAGCAACAAACACAGAGCAAGGACAGCAACCATTAACAACATAAAAATAAAAACACAGTCCATTGACAAACACGACTTCAATCAATATCTTCATGTTCCCCAAGATCTTTAAACTATTCCTTTCAATCTTAAATATTCCAGAGGAACCCCCAAGAGATCTTACCTGGAAGAGCTTGCATGGTCGTACTTTAAGTCTGTCAAGATCATTCCAGTCGAAAGACTGAAGTTAGCCTTTGAAGTACTCTCTTTAAACTCCAAAGTCTTTGAGACACCTGGTTTAAGAAATCTGTAATGATTGGCTTTTGCAAGCATTCTGCCTTGAGGAGAGTGCATTTGCATACCTTTGTGAGTGAATCGCGATTGGTATATCAGGATCATGATTTGGATATCCGAATTATGATTCGTATATCTTAATCGAGAATGGTATGTTTGGATAATGATTGGTATATCTGAGTGAGATTGGTGTAGATGAATCATGATTGGTATATCTAGTTCCCAAATGGGTTAACTGAATCACGAATTCTTTTAACTGAATCACGAATTGTTTAACTGAATCACGAATTGTTTAACTGAATCACGAATAGTTTAACTGAATCACGAATTGTTTAAGTTAATTACGAATTGTTTAACTGAATCACGAATTGTTTAAGTTAATTACGAATTGTTTAACTGAATCACGAATTGTTTACTGAATCACGAATGACTGTACTGAATCACGAGTGAAATACTTGCAGCAAAATTGGAATACATGATACACGACTGGTCAATCTGAATCAGGATTTATACATATGAATCACGAATGGTATATCAGTTCATGAGCCATATATCAGAGTCACAACTCACACACCTGAATCATTACTGGTATACCTGACCATCAACAGGTATATCAGCATTCCAAAACTCTTCACAGGTGTGTGTTTTCATTTCATACTTAAACCGTGTTTTGAGTTCAGTTTTGTAATACACAGGTGTTTAAAAAGGTCATTAACATATATTTATATATATTTATACATGAATATAGCAATCCATCCTACTAAATGGATGGTGCTTAGAGCAGCAATTGGGGCGAATATGCAAAAATAAATTATTGAAACCATTAATTTACATTTTTTAAATATTAATTGCTTTTGGGGGGCATGAAAAATGGTCAAAATAAAGCTTAAATATACTTAGGTCTAGTTAAGTACGTATATGTACTATATTAGGTCTAAGGTAGTGTATTATAGGATTAGGATTCCGTGGAGGGATTAGGTTTGATTAGGTTCATTATAGTTGCTTTTCAACTTTTCAAGCATGTTGTTTGGTTTAATTCGGAACCAATCCAATCGTGAACTTGTTTAGGTCCAACAGTCCACCTTTTTTACGTTTGACCAAATAGTTGATATAATGCTATTATTATTGGAGGATGGTCTGACATATTGCTGCATTGTATATATGTATTTTACAATTAATACAGTAACCATAATTGAATACAATAAATTATTATTGTAAACAAAGCATTATTTTTAATTATATTATCCATAATTAATAATAGGATTATTTTTATTAACCTTCAATATCCTCCCTCACCCCCCACGTCCCCTCTGGTCAGATGTGTGAGGGCGTGGGCGTGCGTGGGTGGGGTCGACGCCAGTGTGGGCGGTCTGAGGGCGTGGCACAGGTGCTGGTGGAGGCTGCGAGGGTGGGCGTAACACAGTGCCAGGCACTCCTGCAGCACCATAGATGGAACTGCTCCCTTGATGGCACCAGACTCATGATAATGAGAAGAGGTGAGTGTGTGAGTGAGCAAATGACCTCATTTGTTGTTCCTCTTGAAGTATTTCATAATTGCATTGATGTAAGAAGGCTTCTTATCAGTTTTAATGTTCATTCTTCTCCTTCAAGTGTTTCCTCTTGAAGTATTTCATAATTGCATTGATGTAAGATAGCTTCTTATCAGATTTAATGTTCATTCTTCTCCCTCAAGTGTTTCCGGAAACAGCTTTTCTGCAAGCACTTTCCGCGGCATCGATGACCTTCGCCGTGGCCCGCTCCTGTGCCCTGGGGCATCTTACCCACTGCCCCTGTGGCGCTTCCCACCAGAATGAAGTCGATACCCTGCGGGCATGGAGCTACGGGGGCTGTAGTGACAACATCAGCTACGGTGAAAGGTACGAGGCTCATGGGTCGTATCTCCCCCTCTCACCTTATCGTAAGCACCAATATACGAGGTCAGAAAGTCGAGGTGACTGCCATAGGAACAATTTATTTGACCAATTGAAAATCCCTAGTATGAAGAGCTCTCATAATTTAGTGATTTTCTGTTCTTCACAGACATGTTCACAACATACGTAATACACACACACTCTCCACAATATTCACAACATTAATCATACAATATGTCTTCTCAGTAATATACACATCACTAAAGATTTATAAGATATACTATAATACAAGTATGAAATATACCCACAATACACTCCTATGATACTCACCCCATCATACATCACTTCGATATACTCACCGAAACACATCTCAAAAATACACTTCATCACACTTCTCTGATATACACATCACAACACATCCCTCTGATATACACATCACAACACATCCCTGTGATATACACATCACAACACATCCCTCTGATATACACATCACAACACATCCCTGTGATATACACATCACAACACATCCCTGTGATATACACATCACAACACATCCCTGTGATATACACATCACAACACATCCCTCTGATATACACATCACAACACATCCCTGTGATATACACATCACAACACATCCCTCTGATATACACGCAACAACACCGAATACTTCTAAGAAGTATACATCGCAACACTTCCCTATAATATACACATTACACATAACTATAAAATATACATTACAATGGACTAATTGGAAATCATTGTATATAACTGATTCATATATATAACTAATTCAGTTGAATATATGCCTGGGGACCATTCAGGCTTGTTTGCATATTATATATATATATATATATATATATATATATATATATATATATATATATATATATATATATATATATATATATATATATATATATATATATATATATATATATATATATATATATATATTGACTTACCTAAAGTTTCCACTGGTTCACCCACTATGCCTAAAAACTTATTTTTAAGTCTTAGATAAATTACTCAACCATATAACTGATATTCATTACTGTATTCTTTTAAGATTCACAGAAAAAGTCTTCTTTGGCTCAAGACGAAGGAAGCTTAGACCTTTTGGGTTGATGGTTGCTGGTATAGGTCTTAGGTCACCACCAGTCAAGTTTCCTCAACTCACTAGAGACATTAAGTCCCAAATCGACTCCCACAATGCCCGAGTCGGGATAAAGGTAAGAAAGGAATCTTGGGAGTATATATAATTGATCTTCTGATTAGTCTTGAGAACGTTTAAATCAATATATCTGAAAAGTAGTTAATGCTGTATGTGTGTATGTATGTATGTATGTATGTATGTATGTATGTATGTATGTATGTATGTATGTATGTATGTATGTGTGTGTGTATGTATGTATGTATGTATGTATGTATGTATGTATGTATGTATGTATGTATGTATGTGTGTATGTATGTATGTATGTATGTATGTATGTGTGTATGTATGTATGTATGTATGTATGTGTGTATGTATGTATGTATGTATGTATGTATGTATGTATGTATGTATGTATGTATGTATGTATGTATGTATGTATGTATGTATGTATGTATGTATGTATATACAGTCATTTCTTTGTGTTGTCCAACTTATATTTGAAATTCTTTAGGTAATTTGCCTTCGTATTGTTACTTAGTAAATTGTTCCATAGACCTGCACTCCATTGTTTGAAAAAGTCTATGATTTTTTTACCATTCTTTACCATTTTTTTACCATACCAATCAAAGCTTACCTTCACCACCCCTTAACCTCACAATTACTGGGCAGGCTTGACGATAAACTCAAATATCTCTCATATGTCAAACTGTTTATTCAACGTTTCCTGATCTACAAAACTGTTTGTTCAGCCGTATCTGATGTACAAAACTATGTTGCATAAATTTAAGTTTACGAAAGTACAGTTTTATTGCTTAATATTAATTCATGAGTACATCTTATCCCAGACAAAATAATGGCAGAGTTTTATATATATTTGTCTCTGAACCACAACCACAGGTGAAAGCAAACTACCAATTTATGGTTGGTACATGTTCAAGACATGTAATCTCATCTCTTGTACTGAATTTGTTTATTTTCGTTTAAACTAGTTTGCTTAGATTAGCTGAATCCCCCCACTGGAGCGTGCTAATCAAACTGGTTCACATATATCCCGGTGAATGAGAGAGTTAAACCTTAATATCTAACTCAATCTGTAGAATTCGATTACAGATAAAAGAATTGGTTTGGTTCGTAAGGACCATTTTCCCTTCCCAGTCTTCGGAATAAACTGCTTAGGTACGAACCCTGTCCTCAGAGTGTGCAGCTGTGTACAGCTGGGGTACGAACCCTGTCCTCAGAGTGTGCAGCTGTGTACAGCTGGGGTACGAACCCTGTCCTCAGAGTGTGCAGCTGTGTACTGCTGGGGTACGAACCCTGTCCTCAGAGTGTGCAGCTGTGTACTGCTGGGGTATGAACCGTGTCCTCAGAGTGTGCAGCTGTGTACAGCTGGGGTACGAACCCTGTCCTCAGAGTGTGCAGCTGTGTACTGCTGGGATACGAACCCTGTCCTCAGAGTGTGCAGCTGTGTACTGCTGGGGTACGAACCGTGTCCTCAGAGTGTGCAGCTGTGTACTGCTGGGATACGAACCCTGTCCTCAGAGTGTGCAGCTGTGTACTGCTGGGATACGAACCCTGTCCTCAGAGTGTGCAGCTGTGTACTGCTGGGGTACGAACCCTGTCCTCAGAGTGTGCAGCTGTGTACTGCTGGGGTATGAACCGTGTCCTCATATTGAGCAGCTGTGTACTGCTGGGATACGAACCCTGTCCTCAGAGTGAACAGCTGTGTACTGCTGGGGTACGAACCCTGTCCACAGAGTGAGCTGCTCTCTACTGCTGGGATACGAACCCTGTCCTCAGAGTGAGCTGCTCTCTACTGCTGGGATACGAACCCTGTCCTCAGAGTGAGCTGCTCTCTACTGCTGGGATACGAACCCTGTCCTCAGAGTGAGAAGCTGTGTACAGCTGGGGATACGAACCCTGTCCACAGAATGAAAAGCTCAATATTGCTTATGTTACAGACGATGGTGAGGTCAGGGCAGCAGATGTGCAAATGCCACGGGGCGTCAGGCTCCTGCAGCATGAAGACCTGCTGGATACAGCTGCGGCCTATCGTGGAGGCCGCCAGAGTGCTCAAGCGGCTCTACAAGGCCGCAGTCCTCGCCAGAAGTAATAACCACGTCCAGGTAAGATTGAACACTTGTGCAGGCAATGAGTCACAATAACGTGGCTGAAGTATGTTGACCAGACCACACACTAGAAGGTGAAGGGACGACGACGTTTCGGTCCGTCCTGGACCATTCTCAAGTCGATTGAACACTTGTTGTGAAGACCTGCGATTGAGTAGTTTATTATATAACCAAAGAGGATAAGGAGAAATGAGAAAAACCACCTTACAACTCATTAATGTTAGCGCCAACGATCTCAATATATAGGCAAGACAACAACATGTATTTAAAGGCACCTGACAATCCACAAACATCATGGCTCCGTTAAGAAGCATATAATTTCTACACACACAACCGTATCATCAACAGCGATATCATGACCAACAACACTAGAAACAATAGATACTATGACAATAGACTAGACATCAGCGAAGCACTATATATCAAGCAATCCCAACTAACTGCCATCACAGCCAATTCACATTCAGGTACATTCTATCATCTTCAAGAACCCATTGTTGATGTGACGACTTATATTGAATTTTGTAACTAGCTCATCAAGATTGTAACTTACTTAGCTAAATGAATTGTGGGGTTCAGTCCCTGAGCCCATTATGTGCCTCTGTAACCCTTTCCCCTACCGCCCACAAGATGGGTATGGGGTGCATAATAAATGAACTAAACTAAACTAAAAAACTCTATCATCTTCAAGTTCAAGTTAGACCATCTAGTTCACAGCCCTACCTTGAGGCTACCTTGAGGTGCTTCCGGGGCTTAGTGTCCCCGCGGCCCGGTCGTCGACCAGGCCTCCTGGTTGCTGGACTGATCAACCAGGCTGTTAGACGCGGCTGCTCGCAGCCTGACGTATGAGTCACAGCCTGGTTGATCAGGTATCCTTTGGAGGTGCTTATCCAGTTCTCTCTTGAACACTGTGTCCTAGCCATATTTAGGGCATAGAAAATACACAAGCAACAGAAGACCAATAGGATCAAGCGACCAATTAACTTCACCTCATCCTCATTGGTTATTTTGGATACAAATGTATACTTTTCACCATTGCCTTTGAGAATGTTCACATGTTCAACGAAACTGTTAGTGATAAACCACATACAAACTATCAACTGAACTAGATGGGTCACTGAGATACCTAGAGAAAATCACATTCATAGTTCATATTTTAATAACATCACAAACGTATCAAAGCTGACATTCTTTGTGATAAGTTATTAAACATTATAATAAGTTATCTGCCCGAAACGCTTTGCGTAATAGTGGCTTTAGGCTTTGGGAGCCGGTCGGCCGAGCGGACAGCACGCTGGACTTGTGATCCTGTGGTCCCGGGGTCGATCCCGGGCGCCGGCGAGAAACAATGGGCAGAGTTTCTTTCACCCTATGCCCCTGTTACCTAGTAGTAAAATAGGTACCTGGGTGTTAGTCAGCTGTCACGGGCTGCTTCCTGGGGGTGGAGGCCTGGTCGAGGACCAGGCCGCGGGGACACTAAAGCCCCGAAATCATCTCAAGATAACCCTCAAGATAGGCATTGTATGTACTAGCTCTATCTATAAATCCATCAATGTATCACCCTTTGTATGTACTTTACCTAAATAAATATTTGATTTGATTTGATTTTAAAAAAAGTAATATGGTGTAGTACTTTCTTCTGATTATTACTTAGTTTGCAATGTGATGATTTAGAACATGTTATAGAGCTACTGATGCATAAAAAGCTGTTGATGCAGAAGATGGAGAGACGACGACGTTTCGGTCCGTCTTGGACCACTATCAAGTCGAAAGCGAGTATCACAATCGACTTGATAATGGTCTGGACGGACCGAAACGTCGCCGTCTCTTCATCTTCTGATGTGTGGTTTGGTCAACATACTTCAGCCACGAGATTGTGACGGTCTGAGATAATATCGGTTAATGTGATAATATCAGAATGAGAAATGTGATGTTTTTCTTCCAGATGACCAAGAGATCCGGTAAGAGGAAGCTTAGACCACCTCGAGCTGCTCTCAACTCTTCAGCAACACACAAGAACTGCACCAAGTCCTCTCAAGACTGCAACAACTTTCTTACCAAGTCGTTTAAAATGGAAAACCAAGATCGTCAACTTGTCAAACAGGCACACACAAGGTCCAGAAAACGCCAGACGAGACACACCAACACATTATTATTTAGTCAGCCCTCCCGAGGTCGACAGAGAACGGAGCAAAGCCCTTTAGAGAATGGATTTGACCAGAGACTCATGAAAACACCCCTTGGCGACCTCACCAAGCTAGTCTATCTAGACAAATCGCCCAACTTCTGTCGTAGAACCAAGTATGGAGCCGGAACTAGAGGTCGGTCGTGCCACAGCAGGAGGAACTGCGATGTATTGTGCTGTGGGCGGGGTTACGACACCGCCCTGGCCCTCCTGAAGGAGTCGTGCCAGTGCCAGGTCGTCTGGTGTTGCGAAGTCCAGTGCCACAGCTGCTCTCGCACTATAGAGGTCCTCACCTGTAAATAACTACTACTAGGAGAAGAGAGAGAGAGAGAGAGAGAGAGAGAGAGAGAGAGAGAGAGAGAGAGAGAGAGAGAGAGAGAGAGAGAGAGAGAGAGAGAGAGAGAGAGAGAGAGAGAGAGAGAGAGAGAGAGAGAGAGAGAGAGAGGAGAGAGAGAGAGGGAGAGAGAGAGAGACAGAGAGAGAGACTACGTGAATACAGACAAAATGGCTGCCTACCCAGATCCAACAGCCTGCATGTTCTGAAACGGTTGCATGTGTAATTAAACACATGTTTGACATGCACACATGTGACAAGTAACGCACACATACACGTGCCTATGAATATGTGACTGTGTCACATATTTTTCTACAGTCTTCATGTTCGAACTAAGAAATTATTCCAAATATACATCACTGGTCACACCCCCCCCCCCCCGAGGCAGTGTGTGTGTGGGGGGGGGGGAAGATTATATAATGAGAACCACTAAACCATTGTTTTTATAATGAACAATAGGAGTGAACTTTTCTAACATTGAACTTTTAATGTGTAGAATAAATTACTTGATATCCATATGAAATATATTACTTAAAGTCACTTTAATTACTTAAAGACTGTGTTACAAACATTACCTAAATTAACTATACCAAATTATACAGCCTTACCTAGGCCTATATCCACATTATATATCCAATTTCATTTTAGAAGTTACATATTTTTAATATACCGTTGTTAAGGTTGTCAGATGAGACACATACTGTTACTGGCATATTAAATTGGCCAATTATCCCTTTATGTAGTTTTGTCTCAAGGAGGAAGATAAGTTGACAGGCCAGCCTGTTCTCCCAAACGTTCCCGACGACAAGAAACTGTCGTGCCCTATCCTAACCTACCGGAGGACCCACAAATAGAAAGCGGGATAGTGAGTGCCAATTTCGCGAGTTGCTATCAACCGGTCTTCGACTCAAGTTCATTCCATCCAGCGGTCGACCCCACAGACGCATTCATAAATTTTAACATGCTCTTCATTCAAAACGGGAGTGTTCTCAAATATAAATTAATATTTTTAATATATTAGCATATTGTGCATATATATGCATAGGTTAGGTTACGTGTTTAGGTTCTGTTGGCGATTATTTGTATTTGTAGTACGTGGGTGAAGCATTTATAGCGTTGTGGTTCGAACAAAATTCGTCAGTGAAGCATTTGTTCCGGAAGTGTTCGAACGTCATCAGTTGTGAGTCGTGTGTAAACCGTTTTTCATTCATAAACAGGGGGTTTGGCGGGTGCATGGAATCACTTTTGGATCTTTGTTTGGAGGACGGGCTGATTTTTCTTCATTTCTATTGACATCCGAACACTTCCGGAACAAGTGCTTCACTGACGACTTGTGTTCGAACCACAACGCTGTAAATGCTTCACCCACGTACTACAAATACCAATAATCGCCAACAGAACCTAAACACCTAACCTAACCTATACCTATATATGCACAATATATTATAATATTAATTTATATTTGAGAAAATTCCTGTTTTGAATGAACAGCATGTTAAAATTTATGAATACGTCTGTGGGGTCGACCGCTGGATGGAATGAACTTGAGTCGAGGACTTGTTGCCATTGGTTAGTAAACTGAAGACATATTCCTATTAACCGAGTACTGTGTCATAATTAATATTGTTTACTGCGCAGTCTTAAGTACTCTGTATTACCCAAACAACGATTAACTTACTATACTCATTATCGTATATCATTCCTATAGCGCCGGGCGTTTTTAGTAAAATATAACATATACAAATACTGTACCTGCTACATAACCACTGTAATTTGATTGTATTTTTATATAATTAAAATAGTATTATTGATTTTTAATTTTATTTATCAAAAGAATCCAGAAGCTAGTTGCTATAATTTTTCCAACCAAGTCCATTCCATCCAGCGGTCGACCCCACAGACAATATGCCGTTCATTCAAAACGGGAATTACTTCGAGTGAATTCGACTCGAACCGGCGCCACTCCCAACCTCTGCTGCACTGGCCCACTCGGGCTCTGATTACCAGTGTTAAACGAGCTTGTTTTGACCATGGGCTTAACTACCACCTATCATGTGGAAGGTTATTAAGGCAAGTCAAAACCACACACCAGAAGATTAGGAGACGACGACGTTTCGCTCCATGTTGAACCATTATCACAGTCGACTTGAGAATGGTCCAGGACGGACCGAAACATCGTCGTCCCTTCACTTTCTAGTGTGTGGTCTGGTCAACATATTTCAACCACGTTATTGTGACTCCTCGTCTACTTTTTAAGCCAACAACAACAGTTTTATTGACCAACAAGCAAGTATAATGTAGATTAGATTAAACCCTCATTGTATAATTCGTTTCATTGTGTCGGGGGGACAGGAAGCCTGAGTGTATTCATACACGTTAGGCTTTTATCGAAATCCAAAATATTATTGATTTTTAATATGTAACTTGAAGCATTTAAGCATGACTATTGGAACAAAAAGTAAACAAGAGCTTTGAGCAACAGTATAAAAGTTTAATTACAACTTTTAAAAGCCAAGTTTAACTACTTTTTCGTCGAGAAGAATATAATTGTTATTTTCTGTAATATATACAGCTGTAACTATTCTATTTATTATTTAGCTTGCCATATACTTGTGTATTCTTTGATAAGGAATGGAAACCCTTAGATATATCTGAAAGTTGGGTTAAACTGTTAATAGTTGATATCAACAAACATTTATTCATCTACTTGACAAGATCTATATCTTCTACTCAATCTATGGCGGCTTTGTTCATCAATCCATCAATCTTTGATGGATTGAGCAGTTAAGGAGCATAGAAACTTCCCAATCAAAAGTTGTTGTTGTTGTAAACAGCCTCCTGGTGCTTCGGAGCTCATTAACTGTCTTATATATGTAAACAAAGCCGCCAAATATTGAGAAAAGTTGTAAAGGTTTCGTAAGTACTTGAGTAACTGCTTAATGGGGCCCACCTAACCCAGTCAACGAGCGGAGATACCAGATAATTATCTTCATATCTTCGCTTTACACTTGTTCAAACCCTTCAAGCATTATTTCTGGTCTTAAAAACAACCATTTCTTGCATATATATTTAATGATTGCAACCGTCACATTGTTGCATTTTACGAAGAGTTTCTACCCGTCAAGCTGGGTGAAGCTTTAGCTTTGTTTTCATAGCTGAGAAAAGTAAGCTAAGCTCTTGACATGCGTCTGTCGAACTGAGAGTATTTTTGTACTATCTACTGCTGTAATACTGACTTCTGCTGTAATACTGACTTCTGCTGTAATACTGACTTCTGCTGTAATACTGACTTCTGCTGTAATACTGACTTCTGCTGTAATACTGACTTCTGCTGTAATACTGACTTCTGCTGTAATACTGACTTCTGCTGTGATACTGACTTCTGCTGTGATACTGACTTCTGCTGTAATACTGACTTCTGCTGTAATACTGACTTCTGCTGTAATACTGACTTCTGCTGTAATACTGACTTCTGCTGTAATACTGACTATACAGCTGAAACACACCCATACTGAGCTGTAATACTGACTACTGGGTATATGTACCTATGATCCACTAATGCTGTAATTCATTTAGAGTGCTCCGGAAGCTTACTGAAGTAGGGATGGGGATAGCCTGTGGGATGTGGATAGGAGGGATGAAGAGGGGGCGCCAAAGTGGAGATGGATAGGCTCTCCATCTGATACCATCGGAGGCTGCGGCTAGAACTATGACAGTACCAGTTATACAGTCCATAAGGTGGTTGCCTCCTTCCGTCTATCCCAAACGCTGTCAAAAGTGCCCATGGTGGACTATGGCAACGAGGGTACTAAGGATAGCAATTTCTGTCTGTCTGTCTGTCTGTCTGTCTGTCTGTCTGTCTCTCTCTCTCTCTCTCTCTCTCTCTCTCTCTCTCTCTCTCTCTCTCTCTCTCTCTCTCTCTCTCTCTCTCTCTCTCTCTCTCTCTCTCTCTCTCTCTCGTCCACATTCAAATTCGTAAAGTTGGCAACACTGGGAGCTAACAACAGCGCCCGTAGCTCTCAGTAGTGGGATCAGTGTTGCCAACGGTAGTCACGTTGGTAGGTTAATCGCTGCTATCTATTCCCTTCTTTATTCGCTGGTTCTCTTTAGTTATCTTCATTATTCTTCTCCCTGTGTTCTCTTCTCGTCTCTCTCTTCTCTCTGGGTTGGAAACCAGCGTTGCTCACTTATGGAACCAACTATGTGATGTAATAGATGTGGGATTGTTGGATTGTTTCAAGCGTAGGATAGACATATTCTGCAATTCCACGTGTTCCTACGGTTCTTAGCTCAATCCCAGGCCGTGATTTTTTTTGTAGGTCTAAGAGAGCCTGACGGCTGAGTGGAGAGTGCTCGGGATTCGTAGTCCTAAAGCCTCCTGGTGCTTCGGAGCTCATTAACTGTTTAATAATTGTAAACAAAGCCGCCAAAGATTTAGAAAAGATGTACAGATTCGTAAGTGCTTGCGTAACTGCTTCGTGAATCTTGCCCCCTGGTTCGTACGTGCCTGCCTAACTGCTTCGTGAATCCGGGTCGTATTCCGGGGAAAATTAAGATTAAGGACCTATAAGATTATATATATATTATATAGTAAGGGGAGACATGATCGCTACCTACAAAATTCTCAGGGTAATCGACCGGGTAAGCAAGGATAAACTATTCAACACTGGTGGGACGCGAACAAGGGGACACAGGTGGAAACTAAGTACCCAAGTGAGCCACAGAGACGTTATAAAGAATTTTTTCAGTGTCAGAGTAGTTAATAAATGGAATGCATTAGGCAGTAATGTGGTGGAGGCTGACTCCATACACAGTTTCAAATGTAGATATGATAGAGCCCAGTAGGCTCAGGAACCTATACACCAGTTGATTGACAGTTGAGAGGCGGGACCAAAGAGCCAGAGCTCAACCCCCGCAAGCACAATTAGGTGAGTACAATTAGGTGAGTATACACATTCATTAAAGATGT